CGAGTCGTATACGTGCTCGAGTCGTATACGTGCTCATCACACACCCAAACCACGCCTAATTACATATCAGGGTGACTACGATCCGCGGCACACCAAGGTGGTGCACTTCGAGCGCAATCCGGCCGCCATCTCGACTCAGCGGCGCGCTGGGGAGCTCGAGGCACTGCGAGGCGAGTGCGAGATGCTGCGAGCCCGCGTCCTCATCCTCGAGGCGGGAGGCAGCGGCAGGGGAGACGTGCTCGACCTCACCGCTCAGGTTCAGGAGAAGGTGCAGGGACAACCCTCGTCGAAACAGGTTGACGGTGAGTGTGGAGCGACTCGGGATAGCGTTGCTTCCCCCTAATGGACGACGATGAGTACCGTGTATGATCGCGTAATAACCGCGGGCGCCTATAAGCCGCGCCTCAATTTGAATCGGGTAACCAAGTATTGCGCCTAGTATATTTCCCCTCACGGTATGGCGCACTTCTAAACCGCAGAGCAAATACAGGGTTGAAATCTGAGGCCAAATTTGCGGTTATTACACTAATGGTGGGGTGCTGCAGTACGACTAATGGTTTATATTGGTCTCACGCCTATGCGGTCTCTAAGGTGGCATCACATTGGTGTGTTTAGTGTGTACTACAGCGTAAAACTACCAGCAACCAAGTAGAGAAATGTGGCCCTCTGTACAGTAGTTCGTAATGGAATAGCTTATAAGAAAAAGATTTCCCCATCTGTGTAAGCATTATGATGCGCGTGTTATCACGAAAACCTCACTATTTCAAAAGTTTATAATAGACAGGTTAATAGAAAATTAATGTGTCTCGTTTTCTGTTATGAATTTCTGACCATATTTAGAGACAGAGGAAAATAAAAATGTTCACTCTCGTTTTCTCATATCACTACTATTTCGCCTCATACTCTGTCTCGTCTCACACCTGTGATCCTATTTACACAGAGGTCTCATGTCACGTCTCACCTGTCTCATCTCACCTTTGTCTCGCCTCACCTGTCTCATCTCACCTTTATCTCGTCTCACCTTTGTCTCGCCTCACCTGTCTTGTCTCACCTTTGTCTCACCTCACCTGTCTCGTCTCACGCCCGCCATCGTGTATTCGCGCAGAAGTGAAGAACCAGCTACAGTCGCTGGAGCTAAAGAACAAGCGGCTGATCGAGGCGTTCCGTAAGACGAGCCAGGAGTTTCGCGAGGTCTGCTACATGCTGCTCGGCTACCAGATCGACATGCCGTGCAACAGCCAGTACCGGCTGCGCAGCATGTACGCGGAGTCCCCCGACGACCACCTCCTCTTCCAGATACAACACGTACGTGTGCGTGTGCATGTGCGCGTGTGTGCGCGTGTGTGCGTGTGTGTGTGTGTGTGTGTGTGTGTGTGTGTGTGTGT